TTACCTCGAATTTTACTCTTTTATTTTAAATTTTTCCCTTTCAGTCACACTTTTATGTTTACGAGTGATACTCGTACTTAATTATTACAAAAGTTGTAGTTTGAACTTTTTCCTTTGATCACGGGCATTGTCATTTCAAATGAGTTTGGTCTTTTCTTATGGTGGCAGACAAAAAACAATGATTAGTAATTAACTCTACACATAAAAAAAAAATTGTAACAATAACGTACTGTTTATTAGTATGAAACTAGGGTTAATTGGTTTAATAACCAAAAAAAAATATCGTAATCAAATATCCTTAATCTAATGGTTATTATTTAGGCGGGGCCATTTTAATTATTTATTTAGATATGATTTTTTTTTTGGGTTATTAAGCAAATTAACCCTATGAAACTATGAATCAAAGATCCCAGGGAAAAAAAAATAACGTACTGGTCATTAAATGGTGTTTGACCTGTTCTGTTCTGTTACCAGGATTCAACGCTCATCCGAGTAACCAAAAACAATACACTATATGCGATATTGTCCTTATTTCCATTATGATCTAGATAAGCATGTCACATACACAGACACAATAATGCGTTTCAACAAAAGTAATTTCTTAAACAGTACAAAAGTTACAATTGCAATTTAAAAACAATACTTTAAAGTTTAAACTATTCTCCATTTATCTTTTAGGCCATGTGGATATGTATTGATCAAAGACTTATCTTGAAACGATCATCTGCACATTAATACATGTAAAAATACTTTAAAGAATAAGATCACAATGTAGAGCTAGATTGTGTCAGTGGGAATTAACCAAACTGAGTGAGACTTTTTATATTTTTTCATGGTGAGATATATCTATACAATAATTTTTTTTTTGCAAAAGAGTCTGTACTTAGTTTCAAAAACAAACAAAAGAGTCTCTACTTTGACCTAAATCAAATCATATATAGGCCCTAAATGGTATAAGAAGATTTGAGAAGTTTAGAGGAATTAGGAAAATTACAAATCTTCTGTTACCAGTTGTGAATAAAGAATTGGAAGGATTGGAAGAACTGGGAGATAGTGGAAAAGTGAAAGTAAAAAATACTTTTGTTTGTGATATTTTTGTTAGGTGTGTCAAATATTTATCATTTTTAATTTTTATGAAGAATACATAATATTTTTTTAAACTACAAAAAACAAATAACATAATTAAGAATAATGTATTTTTAATTTGTAATGTTTTTGAAATTAAATTTTTATTTTCTTTGTTAATAAATTACTAATATTAAAAATGAATAAATTTTATAATTTTTCACTTATTTTAATAGTTAATAATAAAAAATATTTGTAAATTTTGTTAATAAACATAAAAGCAAAAATGTTAATAAATAAGTTGAATTTATAAAAAATTAACTAAATAAATATTATTTATATTTGTTTGTTGTCAATTTTCAATAAAAATATTTTTTTTGTAAAATTTAATACATGTAAGAACATAAATATTTAATGTTAACAAACATA